TGTTTCATTGGATTTTGGCACCAGGTCCCAATGGCTCTGACACCAAACTACTCTGATGAATCAAAACAGGAGGAATTTCAGAGAATTCTCTCCCTCCCTTCCCCCCACTTCTCTCTCATAGGTCTTGTGTTGATATACAAAACTCTGAACACCTTGGGTCCAGGATACTTTACGGACCACCTGAGCCTGATCACTAAGATCATCTGGAGGAGCGCTACTATTTGTCCCCGAAGTTGCAGAGGCCTAACTGGCCTCAACCAGCAGTCAAGTATTTAGTGTTAGTGGTCCCATGCTGTGGAACATGCTTCCAGCAGAGATGCAGCAGGCACCCTCGCTTTTGACTTCTTCCAGGTTTCTCATGAAGACTTGATTCATGCCACCAGGCAGGCCTATGAAGGATATTTTGTATGTGCGTAGCCAGCCATTTTAATGATTGTACATCACCCTGATATTTTGAGAAGGGGGCATATAAGCACACACACACGCACCTGAAAGAAAGGCAGGATCTAGATATTTAAAATAAATAAAGAAGTGTGCAGTGTTGTCCCAGCACGAGTGCAGAACTCATTCCATGATTACAAATATGTTTCCACCCACGCTCTCTAAATTATAAATATCTGTATGCAGCAGTGAGAAAGGCGCCAGCATAAAAATTACACCGCCATCCAGATTGGCTTCTATGTCACTTTCCATAGTCCAGCTGTGCAAACCCCATACTTGGGAGTCAAGGGCTTCTCCTTGCAGAGCCAAGAAGCTAATCTCGCAAAGTGCTTTGGAACCCAAACTCTCTCTCTCTCTCTAACTGCGAGATTGAAGAATGGAATAAAACTGCTAGTGGGACTAAAATGGGTTTTCAGCATTAGCAAATATATTTGGCGTTTGCTTAGATGACTGGCTGTTTCTCGGATAAAGGAAGCAAATACTTTCCCCTGCTAATTATGATGTATATGAAATCGCAATGTTCTGCTGTGTTTTGGCGTGGCCATGGTGAGGGATCATATTTACGATTTTAATAATTGGAGTTGGGTTTCATGCCCTACTTGAAAACCAACTGGAAGAACAGACGTGGATACAATTCTGCTGGGGCTAACAATAGGTGACCGATGTTCCATACCACTCCACTGCCTTCTCCAGCTTTCCCCAACCTGGTGCTCTCCAGATGTTTTGGACTACAACTCCCATCAGCCCCAGCAGGCATAGCCAATGTTCAGGCATGATGGGAGCTGTAGTTCAAAACAAGTGCAGGGTATCAGGTTGGGAAATGCAGCGCCCATCCCTTTGCCTCTTCGACTTGCCTGCCAACCAGTCCATCTTTATATGTTCTTTGACAAGAACAAATGCTAATTCATAGTAGATAGTTGGCCAGGGTAGCTCATCCTTATGCCCACACAGGGTGTTTTGAATGTTAAACTAGGATCAAAATTACCATTTGTTTAAGTGTTAACTTCATAAAGGTAAAGTAAAGGTACCCCTGCCCGTACGGGCCAGTCGTGACCGACTCTAGGGTTGCGCGCTCATCTCGCTCAAGAGGCCGGGAGCCGGCGCCGTCCGAAGACACTTCTGGGTCACGTGGCCAGCGTGACGAAGCTGCAACTGGCAAGCCAGCACCAGTGCCGCACACGGAAACGCCGTTTACCTTCCCGCTATAAAGCGGTACCTATTTATCTACTTGCACGTAGGGGTGCTTTCGAACTGCTAGGTGGGAAGGAGCTGGGACCGAACGGCGGGAGCTCACCCCACCGCAGGGATTCGAACCGCCGACCTTACGATCAGCAAGTCCTAGGCACTGAGGTTTTACCCACAGTGCCACCCGCGTCCCTTGTTAACTTCATACATTTCTTCTAATATCTAAAAATTGTCTGAATGACCTCAGAACCAGAGATGCTAATCTTTTCCCAATGTATTACCCACCCTTCACTCTAAGAACATTTTGGAGGTCCCAGGTCGCAAGGTGGTTAGATTGGTCTCAACTAGGGCCAGGGCCTTTTCAGTACAGGCCCCGACTTGGTGGAATGCCCTGCGGGATTTGACATCTTTCCGCAGGGCCTGCAAGACAGAGCTGTTCCGCCTGGCCTTTGGTTTGGACTTAGTCTGACCCTTATGTTTCCCTCCCCTTATGGTCTTGATTTATCGGCTACTTTTAAAATGAGGCTGCATTTTAAATTGCATTTTAATTTTTTTTCTTTTTCTTTTACCCCTATTATGTTTTTTACTGTGATTTTATTGGTGTTAACCGCCCTGAGCCCAGCTCAGCTTATTATTATTATTATCCCAGAGAATATTACAACAACTGAAGCTTGGTGTTACGGACAGTTGAAAACAATTCACAATAACACACAAACACACAAACACACACAAAATTATCGCTCAAAGTGAAAAGTGGGGGAGAGGGTGTGACAAAAGGGGGGAGGATGCTCGAGAGAGGCCTCTCACACCCCCTTCATTGCCCAGCTGCAACACAACAGCCCTGCAGTGCTGCCACTGGGTCTTACTTACCTGGGATGCGCTGAAGCAATTAATTTTAGAAAGTTTCTGAGCTGGTGCCCCAGCACTCCTCAGTTCCCTCTGCACCTTTGTGGTTTAACAAAGAAGCAACCCGCAGTCTCCCTGAGTCTCTCCCAGACCCCCGAAAAGTGAGCTGGTCACTTATAACTCCAGTTCTCAACACCCAGTAGCTTGAATGCTTAGCACCTAGCAGGGGATTCTAAAACCCTGAGGCTAGCAAGCACGCACACTTCAGCAGTCAAGTTAAGGAACTAAAATGAGGAATAAAAGGTAGGGGGACAGCAGGCAGGAGGTAAAGAGTACAAAAAAAGCTCAAGACCTGTGGCTCTAAAACGGAACCAATCCTAACCTATTCATGGCACTCTTTCGAGTTTACTCACAAAGAATCAGCAAGGCTGACCAACTTTGTAGAAGATCCTGTCTTGGAATCTCAGTGCTGGGAAGGACAGGTAGGAGACACCTGACAGCCTCACTGAGAGAAATGGCGAGTGTCTCAGGCCCTTTCTTCACAGAGGGCATATATCTGGATCTGTCTTTCCTAACATGGATGGTTCCTCCATGCAGTCATGCCAATTTGGTCAATGATATCTCAAGAGGCATCTGAGCAGAGGGAGAACATATGGAGAGACAGACGACTTTCCAAAATATATAGTAGAAGTGCATCCTTGAAAACATTACTTGGCGGGCAAATTGCACTGAAAAATCCAGAGTAGTTTATATTTTGAAGGACGGCTTTATTTAAGTTTGTCTCTTGTTTCAGAGAATGTGCATTAGACACATTTGCCTTTAAATGCAAATTAAATTGAATACCTTCCTCACCCCTAGGTAGTGGTAGTAGGGTTCACTCATACAGCATGTGCGTTTTGTGCAGATAGGCCAAGTTTTGTCTGGCTGAGTCTAATAATAATAATAATAATAATAATAATAATAATAATAATAATTTATTTATACCCCGCCCATCTGGCTGGGTTTCCCCAGCCACTCTGGGCGGCTTCCAACTGAATATTAAAAACAATACAGCATTAGACATTAAAAACTTCCCTAAAGAGGGCTGCCTTCAGTTGTCTTTTAAAAGTAAAATAGTTGTTTATTGCCTTGACATCTGCTGGGAGGACGTTCCACAGGGCAGGCGCCACTACCGAGAAGGCCCTTTGCCTGGTTCCCTGTAACCTTACTTCTCGCAATGAGGGAACCGCCAGAAGGCCCTCGGCGCTGGATCTCAGTGTCCGGGCAGAACGATGGGGATGGAGACGCTCCTTCAGGTATACTGGACCGAGGCCGTTTAGGGCTTTAAAGGTCAGCACCAACACTTTGAATTGTGCTCGGAAACGTACTGGGAGCCAATGCAGATCTCTCAGGACCGGTGTTATGTGGTCCCGGCGGCCACTTCCCTAGCCAAGCAAGGGAAACAAAAGCCCAGTTCTCATTCCACTTCGTTTTCAAGCGATTCCACAATTTTTGAAAACCAGATTTGGACATTTTCTTTAGCTGTCATAGAAGCCATAGCTTTTTCTTCCTTTTTTCCTTTTCTTAAAAAATCCAGGCAACACCTGTTTGGTTTAATGAAATATGGCAGCATACCCTCCTCACATGAGAAAAGGGTTTCCAATTCCTGTTCTCTAATAAGGTCATTTTAAGTACACTCTGACAGTGTTTGGGCACTGGGAGCAATTTTCTCCCTCCCCTCAAGAAGCACCTCTTTTAGATCCATGTTTCCATTTATGATGAAGGAAGAAAGCAATGAAGTAATGAAACAATTAATTGACATAGACATTTTCTGCTAGAGCAACAAAGATGGTAGGTGATGGAATTGAGCAAATCCAGGTTTGTGTGTGTGTGTGTTTGTGGGTGTTTTTTTTTTTTGTGAGGTGGAGGAAAACACACACACTCATACTCCTCCTTTCTCTTATTATTCCTCCTGCCACATTTGCAGTTTTAAAATGCTGATCGTGCTGGCAGGGTTCTCAGTGTAATGGAGAGGGTTGATATTGTAATTTTCTTTTTCACCCCCACAGGTTCTCCTAGTTCAAACACATATAAGAGATGCAGAGGTAAAAAGTGCAATGAAAATAGTACAAAGTAGGGGCTGAGACTTTTGGATGGCTCTCTGCTCATTAACGAGACATCCGGGAACGAGCAAAAAAGAACTACAGCCAAGACTGACTCACGGGAGATCAGATGGCGGGAACCGTGGGTATTATTACAGCGGATCACTATTTATGATTTGCGGGAGGTGGCAGTGGAAAATGTACGAGTTTTTCTTTAAAAGGGAAGTACTCTTTAAACTACCAGGGCAGTTCGATGTGGGAGCTTTGATGCCAGCAGGCTGAATGGAAGCTTATTATGAAGCAGTACCAAGGCCGGGAGGTGACTATGTAATGCAAAGGCAAGGGCCTGAGGGCCACCTTCCCTTCTGTACCACCTTCTGGAGGCCAGAAATGAGTTGGGCCAGAGTTTAAAGTGAATGCGAGTCTTACAATGGTGCAGTAGGTAAGTCTTTACAGAGATTAGCTCAGTTAGCAGAGCATGAGACTCTTAATCTCAGGGTTGTGGGTTTGAGCCCAATGCTGGGTGAATGGATGGATGATACTTGAGGTCCCTTCCAACTCTACAGTTCTGTGATTTGATATCCTCTATCCATGCAAGCGTGGGACGCGGGTGGCGCTGTGGGTTAAACCACAGAGCCTAGGGCTTGCCGATCAGAAGGTCGGCAGTTCAGATCTCCACGACAGGGCGAGCTCCCATTGCTTGGTCCCAGCTCCTGCCAACCTAGCAGTTCAAAAGCACGTCAAAGTGCAAGTAGATAAATAGGTACTGCTCCGGCGGGAAGGTAAACGGCGTTTCCGTGTGCTGCTCTGGTTCACCAGAAGTGGCTTGGTCATGCTGGCCACATGACCCGGAAGCTGTACGCCGGCTCCCTTGGCCAGTAAAGCGAGATGAGTGCCGCAACCCCAGAGTTGGCCACGACTGGACCTAATGGTCAGGGGTCCCTTTACCTTTACCTTTATCCATGCAAGCAAGGTAGAAACACTCAAGGAGGGTATGAAGCAAGGCCAACAAAGGGTGTAACTGGGCAACACCCCATTTACACATTTGGCCTTTGGCCTGAGGTTCCCCACCCCTGCTATAATATTTTAGGATTGCTTTCCCCCAGCTTGATGCCCTCTTGGTGCCCTTTGGACTGCAACTCCCACGAAGCTGGCTGAGGCTGATAGTTCTAACCATGCCAAAGATCTGGTGAGCTCCAGGTTCAGGAAGGCTGTTTCAGGGTGTGTCAAGGCCAACTTTGGGACTTCAGAAAGTCCCTGTCTATTACAAACTGATGTGGAAACGTAAGAAGATCCCTGTTGTATGAGACTGATTGGTTCCAGCATTCTGTGGAAGAGTACTGACATGCTCTCTTTTAGCTGAAAAACAGAGTTGTTTTTCTATGCTTGTTCAAACAGCTTGGGGGGGGCAAAGTATTGTGAGCAGGTTGTACAGCTGTGCATTTCCTCATAAACTTCCCCCACAAGCTTTGTCCTATCCAATCTCTCAGTACAATGAAATATTAAATGCTTATGATTTCTGGGAGCTCTTTTCTCATCCTCCAGTGATGGTCTCTCCAAAATATATTGGAACTTATTGGTAGGTCTTGGGAGAGCCAGAGTTCCCACTATTGCTTCAAGGTCTGATGTCTTTCAAACCACAAAGCTCAGTAAATAAGTGTAAGGAAAAAGGGAATCCGACAAGGCAATCTGTCTACATAAGCTTTATTAAAGTAAGCACAGCCATAGATCTTTGTTATTGCCGATACCTTGAGACTAAAGGATGAGATAAACTTCTGGGTTTTTTTGTGTGTGGTCTTTCCCCCCCTCTTTACAAAAAAAACCCCTTGCCCTTTCAAATGAGTCCATCTTTCTGTTTGAGCATCTTCCCAATATATCTGAGTTGGTGTGGTTTTCGTTGATAAGAGCTGAGATCAGATGGTTCAAAATCTTAGCTCAAAAGAGATCTGGGCATCCATGTGCAAGTGCCATAAATAAAAGTACTGGTTACAGCCAAAAAAACAGAAAGCAGAGAACAAGCATCTGTGCTTGATGAAATGGATCCAGCCTGAGGTTCCCCAGAGCAAAACCCATGATGTTTGTTTTCATTATTCTTTTGCAACGTCTTTAGCTTATTCCAGCTTAACAAAGGAGACAACTTTGCAAAGGTCTCTATGGGTGACGGCATGAGGAACTATTGCAAATCCCCTGGTATTAGTTCCCAATCAAAAGGGTTCTAGTCCTCATGAATATTAGAAATGTTTTGGGGAAAGAAAATGTCTGATGGTCTGAATGTTTCATGCACGAAAATAGAACCTGTCTTCCAAACTCTGAAATATAACTTTGCGATACATAGGTGGTTTATAACAGCTTGTATTACAGGTGAAAAAAGTAAGTTCTGCAATTGCTGTACCAAACCTCAGCAAGTAGCCCTTCTGTTTCACTGTGTTGACTACATACAGTACTTGGAAGTAAGTCCTATTAAACTCACTGAAAAGTGCATGGAAATGCATGTTCCTCATTTCCCAGCATCTTGCAGAAAAATGTTAGTGAACTCTGGATTCCCCACAGCCTATGAAGTAGCAAGGGGAGCACATTACAATATATTATATTTATCCATCTCTTCTTGACCATATATTTTCTTCTCATCCTACTCTTAGTTCTCCTCTCATTATCACCTTTCAACTGCCTTGGTGCTGTCATGTGTCCTCAGCCCAAGGGTATATAATTAATCTTTCTCATGACCACTCCTTTCATCTTAAACCATCCTTCTCCATCTTGGTGTCCTCCAGATGTTTTGGACATCTGAGGGAACCTGCTGGGGAATGCTGGCAAAGTGTGGACCAAGATGTAAGGGCTCTCATCGAGGACAGTGAAGAGATGCTTCCAAATTTGAAGAGGCCTTCAGACTTCCGGGTCAGCGCCATCGGTGAATGGCGGAGTTCCTCTGACCAGAGGAACGGGCTCTGTGGAAACTGGGTCTTCCCGCCGCGGCGAAGGTGGGGACCCGCTAGAAATCCCAGGCGGAGGAAGCCTGGGAACTTGGGGTTCGGCAGGGCACCAGAAGAGCCCCCCCTACTCACTGGGAACCCCATTTTGGGGCACCGGAGCGAAGTGGGGTGAGCGGCGCGGTGCTGCGAACTGATTGCTACTTTCACGGAGTGAAGCCGCACAGCCATTGCTGGAGAGCGCTGACTTTTTCCTGTGGACAATTGGATTTAAAACAAGAAGGTACATTCTTTCACCTTTGGTGGACGTGCCCAAAGATTAAGGCTTTCTGGGAAATGATATACAATGAACTGAAAAAGGTATTTAAATATACCTTTCTGAAGAAACCAGAGGCCTTTCTCTTGGGCATTGTCGGCCAACTGGTGCCAAAGAAGGACAGAACCTTTTCATGTATGCTACAACAGCAGCAAGAATACTTATCGCAAAGTATTGGAAGACACAAGATCTACCCACTTTGGAAGAATGGCAGATGAAGGTGATTGACTACATGGAATTGGCGGAAATGACTGGCAGAATCCGAGACCAGGGAGAAGAGTCGGTGAAAGAAGATTGGAAAAAATTTAAGGACTATTTACAGAAATATTGTAAAATTAAGGAACTTTAGAAGGATGTTGGATAGAAATTAAGAGGTTTTTAGCTGTAATGCTTTAAGAGACATGAAAAAAAAAGGTTAAGAATTGGGTAAAAGATTAATGGTAAGGATTTGCTGAACCAACAAACTGAATTGGAATACAAAGAAGGGAGGTATGAGGAGGTCTGGGGAAATAAGAGTAAGGAAGATAGGTTATGGAACATCATTGTGTTTTTAATTGTTTTATTTTGTATGTTTTTTCTTACTTTTTACTTTTTTGCTGTAATTTATACTTTTTTCTTTGTTTTCTGTATTTTTGTGAAACTTTAATAAATATCATTTAAAAATAAAATAAAATAAAACAAGTACCCGTGAGTAGAAACGGAAAATTGGATCAAGAAATATCTTAATTTGGCATCGAAGCGGGAAGGTTCAAAACAGGAAGTCCACCTTCCGCTTTTTGTATATAGACTAAAGCAAAAACCTTGTAAGCTAAAGCCTGGAAAGCCGTTAAAAAAGTCTAAATTTCCTTCATTTATAATTACTGAAACCCCCTTGGAAGCAGGAGAAAAGGGGGGGGACTTTGTTTAACCCCTGCAGGAGAGGGAGTGAAGAAGGATAAGTTTCCGCCGTCTCTAACCTGGGAACGGGGTGTCAGAGACAGAAATAGTTGGAGAGGTTCATTGACTGTGAATGGAATACTTTGACAGATAGCTAAAGAAGAGAAATAAACTGATTCCAATGTTGCCTTTTGCATTCTAAAGAAACAAAATATCTGAAAAATATCTGAAAAATGAAAGTAATTTTCCTTTGTTGGACTTGCCTTAAAAAAATGGATACCAATAGAAATTGTCTCCTCTAGAGGGAGCTTGTTAAATTGTTGCTGCAGTCTACTTGAGGACTCAACAGCTGTGAGATTAAGATCGTGGGACCAGTCTTTTCTGACCTTGACTAAAGATGAGCTGGGAGGAAGTTTGGGTGCTTGCTTTATGCAAGACAAGTGCCTTGCTGGAACAGATGCACGAGAAGATGGATTTGATGAACGAGAAAATGGACTTGATGACTGTTGTGGTCAATAACTGTGGACAAACAGGGAACATCGATACAGAAACCATTCAGGGACCAACTCATGAACCTGTACTGACTGGGCAAGTGCAGAAGATAATGGAGGAGGATGCGGTTGCACCTCAAATAATACAAATGGAGAAACCCGAGGCCCTACAGGAGCATAAGCCGCTGTCATTGAAGATTGAAGTTGGAGCGGGCCAGGGGGAGTCTGGAGCTGAGGAGGTTCTTAACTTTGGAGAGACCTTGAAATATGCTTTTAAATACTTTTTGGATTACATTGATGACTGTGGGGAGTGGGACTGTGGGGAATGGGCGGGTTTGATGAAGGGAGATGGAGATAATTTTGGGTTGGAAATCCCCAGAGACCTACTCCTCAATGAGAAAGGAAAGAAATTAAGAAAGAGACCAACAAAAGACAAGGAAAAGGGCAAGTATAAACAGGAAGAAGAAGATCTGCAGAAGGGACATGGAAGAGACTTAAGGGCCTCGGACATAAGACTTCCAGGTTGATGGACTAGATGGAATGGACAGTAAGGACTGACACGACCCGAGACCAGGAAGAAGAGACGTTGGATGAAGATTGGAAGAAAATTTATAAAGAAATTTTTTTATTTAGGGAATTAGCCTAAAATTAATGAATATTAGGGAAAATGTGGGAATGAAACTATATGACTCTAGCAGAAATGACATCAGGAGTTATGTATAACTGAGTAATAAGTTTTAAGCTTTAAGGTATTTTATGGTAAGATAAGGTTAAATAAATTAGGGTAATTTGAATAACAGAATATGGGGAAAGATGGAAAGGATCTGTCAATTTAATTAATAGGTTAAATTGCGAAGATAAATTATTTAACAAAAATGGAGAAAGATGGAAAGAATTTGCTGAAATAACTAACTAAAC